CTCGAGTACAGTACAGTGAAACCTAACTCCACCCTCCAATGTTTCCAGGTCTCCGATATTTCTATTTCTCATAGGAGACATGCTTTATTCTATGAGCTTCCCCTCTCTAAATTCTAAGCTTCTATTAGTTTCTCACTCTAGGTAGTAAAAGCCACTAAATTCCAGAATTCATTTGCATGAAAATCTGTTCATGCAACTTCCTATGAAAGATTGGAGGCATGGTTATAGAAGTGGAAGAGTTAGATCAGTTTTTAGAAGATAAATAGTCAGTGAGAAAGCTAACAGAAAACAAAGCAACTTTCAAATTTGATCCTTCCGTGGTTTTTCTTCTGATATTCATATTGGAAAATATCTTCCTCTTCAGCATGCCAAATGCATCAGTAATCTCCGCAAAGTGTACTCAATGTTTGCTCACATCCGAAAAGCGGACAAGAACAAAGCATAAAAACCTCACCAACGTTGCAAAGTTTGAACTTTATAAAGAAAAATTTCCACCAAATGGTGGAAAATACCCAACAAATACCTTGCTTGCTATTGCCTACAGTGTTGATAGTAAAACAGTTACACATATTATCACAAAAGGGTATACATACTGGTCAAAAATGACAAATGCAGAGCTTACTCACCAGAGGGTAAGCAGTGTCAAGCTGCCACGGATCAAGTCAATGCTTGTCTTATGAGTCTAACAGTGTGAAGGTAGAGGTATATTCTGACAAAGATTTTCTTTCCAAGGGTCACTTTTTTTAAAAAAAAAAAATAAGTAATATTATAGGAATTGTTCTCACTGAAGAAGCTAATCAAGCAAAAGTAACCCAATATTATAACTTAAACATAGCCTGAAGGCGAATCAACTAAAGTGGAGACATGGGTGGCTAGAAAAGTTCAAAATGCGAACAGGACTTTACAGATTCCACTTCTATGGCAAAGGTAGTTCTGTCAACCTCAGTAACCACACAGAACAGATTAATTAAATCAACAAGCCCTGTGATGATTACACAGATGAAGACCAGTACAATTTCAATAAAATAAGTTACTTTTATCAAGTGCCACCCAGGTGTTGCTCTTCGGCAAACAAATGGTCAAAATGGAGAAAAAATACACCTAACATATGGCTTTTCTCTTAACGGAACCAGAAGCGATATGCATGAGCCACTTGTTATTGGATATGCTCATCAAACTCAATGCTTTGAGAAAAGAAGTGTGCAAAGCTTAGGCTATGACTATTGCTTCAATAAAAAAGCATGGATGACTAGAACAATATGGCTTAAATGGCTGAAAAGATTTAATGATAATATAGAATGAGAGAACCGTCAAATAATTCTTTTAGTTGACAACTGCTCTACTCATATTGAACCAATAGACTATACTCTTAAGTGTATCCATTTAGAATTTCTTCCTCCCAATACTACCTCTCAACTTTAACTGCTTGATGCCGACATTATTCAAACCTTTAAAGTCTACTACCATCAGGGTTTCCTTCAACTAGTAATTTTACGCAATGAGGAAAATACACCAAATCCCTTCAAGATCTCACAGTTGGAAGCAATGGAACTTGGAAAAGAAGCCTGATCTAAGGTTAATGCTACAACAATCTCAAACTGCTAGAAGCATGTTGGTCTTATAGGAACATTTGGACCTGGATTACCAGTTGAGCAGACCAGCGATCCTGTTCCAACCTTATGTCCTGCAGCAGAACAATACCAAGCAGGTGCAGAGCAAAGAATTCAAAGTCCTGACCAATTTCTTCTCTCCCATACCGCATATGATAAAGTTAGTTGATATTCTCTCATTGCTCCCTTTAAATTATAGGATTATAAAGAATTTATTTTCTTATTATTTCAACTTTACTTAGGTTACTGAGTTGGCTGTATCAATTGAAAGAGACTTTCAAAGGCTTCATATCCATGTTCTCATAGCTGTTGAAGCTTTCCTAAACACAGTATCAGAGGTGACAGTTATTAGGGAACTTACAGATGAAGAACTCATTGGCATTATTGATCATGCTGAAGAGCAGGAAAAAGAAACTGGTCGAAGAATCCACCGAGATACCACCAGTGATCCAGCTTAACATCCCGAGAGTTGTGTCTCACTTTCAACTGCAGAGGTCTTGAACGCTACCCATAGCTTGATTAACAAACTAATAATTGATCCTGACATTCCAAACATAGAACTTAATGCACTTCAGTCTCTAAGAGAGTTAGAAAAGGTTTGGAGGATTCAGACGCTCCAAGAGTCCATGGTCCAGCGAAGTATTTTATTATACTTTACCTTAGCTGAAAATTTGTCTTTCTCTAGTTAGATACCTGGGGGGTTAGGCAACATGTTAGAAAGGGGAATAGGTAGCTACTTGGTGTTCTTGGGGTAAAGTGAAAACCAAATTGATATGTTCAGGGAAATAGGGTTTTTTCTGATTTATAAATTGAAAAGCGTACTGTGTATGCCATCATAAATTATCACTGGTTTAGATTTGATTTGGCACCCTCTTTCTGCCAAGCCTATTCGCTATTTTCCATCCCTCCTTTACTTCTGGGAGATCCGGTCTCCCAAGGACCTGGAGATAACGGAGGTTTCACTGTACCGGTACTAAAACCTTATTCTATTCTATCTAAGCCCTGGCGCTGCCCGTTTCACCAACTAAACGGTACTCGAGTACCAACCACAAAAATAAATTTAGTAAATCGATAGGGAAAGCCGTTGCGGCCCAGTGCAGAAATGGGATGAGAGCGGAGAGGCCAGGATACTGAATCTTGATCTGGAACAACCAAGGTGTTTTGAGCTGATCCGAGGGGTGGGCAGAAACTGCCCGCCTCGCACACACTTGGTCAGAGCGGTGCAGTTGGGTGGAGGTGTGGGTAACCTCGGTCTGTCGGTCAGCTCGAGATCTCCGTGTTGCTTGATGGCTTCTAACTTTAGCCTCTGCCAGAGACTGGTTGTGGTTGGGTGATAAAGTAATGGGTAAGGTAGGGAGGAGGGGGAGGAGAAGGGTACCGGTACCGGTAGACTAGGGGATGATGATGGGGGGAGAAATGCTTGTATCATAGAATGATAACAAGGGGATAAATAATTAGCATAAGGGAAGGGGGAAAAAAGCTCCGAAAGGAAGAAGAAGACTGAGGTAGTCTAAATGGTGTGAAAGCAGAGCGGAAGAAAAAAGGCAAGCGCCAGCAGAGTCTCTCAACCTACTTTTGTGGAAGCTGGAAGCAGCAATCATTCATCCGTATCGACTCTTCATATTCTTCATCGGTTTGTAGAGTCAACAATAATCCGGTTATTTAGCACAGTTGCCCGGCTATATAACTCTCAATTTTATTCCGTTTTCCACCTTGTCGTGGAAGGGAAAAAATCAGATTCGGTAAAGAATCTCACCTTGCGGATTGGTGAATTTTCCCAATTAGTAATATCGTCTGAGAGGGAGATTGGAGGGAGGGAGCTATTTACCCACACATTTTCTTTTTCTTCCCCTACGGTAGGGTAGCCCGGTAAACGGGATGGGCGATGGGCTGGAGGGGTATTCCTGTAGTATCATAGTTCTATTCTATGACTTGCTATGGTCTCGGGAGGCAACATGAGTGAGGCAATGAGGGCTTGCCGATAGATAGCACAACACGTAAATTACCACACCTGAGTTCCACTCCGGTAGCGATGATATCAACGAAGAGCACGATCTAAGATGTATGATAACCTGGTCCTTAAAAGTCGTATCGCAGAGATAAGAAAACCAGTAGACTTCCCGTATTTTTTCCAAGCATGGCCTGTCTTTCGCCTTCCCAGCCACCCTTTCCGTCGATACTCTCTCTACGAGTACTCGTGCTTATCTGCTACCGGTCAGGACTGCTCTCTTTTCTGCTCTTCCTACCTTACGAGTACTATCAACACATGGTTCTCTGGTATTATATACAGTCGCACTCCGCTATAAAGGAACTCTTCATACGGGAAACCCCGCTGACACGAACGAACCCTCTGGGGATTTACACCCCTGCTCTCTCACACAGTTGATCCTCGCTATGGGATTTCTTCCAAAACCTCGCTATAACGAAAGAGAAATCAGGAACTCTTGGCGTGCCTTATAACGGGGCGCGACTTTTAGCTGTGGAGTTCCATTGCCGGTTATCATTATCATTACCGTAGTCGCTATCGCTATCGCCTCTTTATCTCCCCTACCCCCCTTTCAATGCATATATGGTACTATAGTACAACTCCTACTCTCTCGCATAACTACGACTACTATTCCGTATCGTACACACTACGCTATCGCTACTTCACGACACCGCAGCCATGACCACCTGCTCTCTCCTCTCCACCCCCCACTTTCTCCCTACAGCCCTTCTATTGCTCTGTCATTGCTATCTTCCCGCCCAATCTCCACTCACCACCCACCATCGTATTTCTCACTCTCCATCACATCTATCGGTCCTGCGCACTCGGCAGCCAGTTGTTAATCAAATTCTAGCAACCACACAACACAACCCCCATTTCCCCCTTATGATCATCCCCGAAACCAACACCTCTGTACCCTTGAAATATAATAATACCGTATTCCGCTTGTAACGTGCCTCCATGATACTCGAGTTACGCAGCCGTTAGTAATACCCCATACAATGTGCTAATCATTCTAAAACTTTAGTCCAAGAAGAGAAAACCCAACCCCAGAGCTCATGCATAAGTATTCCACGAATGCAAGGGCTCTCTGTTCCTCCGGTAATTTCCCCGAATACCTCGTTGCCCATAGCAGCGTGTAAGTGTATATGCGGAATTCCCGACAATAGCATTGATGGATCGAGTAAACCATAACGGTATTTCGATCTCCAAGTGATATAAACTTCTACGAAAACAGAAAGGGGAGAGGGATCGTTCGATGATGCCCTACTGTAAAATAACCCGAGCTCTCGAAGGATCCATAAATTAAACACCGAAAATGTTGGCGAGATAAATGATAACTGCGAAACTCTCTCTACACATGGGATAATAGGGATGATAAAATACATGAGAAACTCCGTTCCTTTCCTGTGTGAATAAACAATACTTGGCGGGTGTCGATGCTGTATACTAATAAACAATGACCTCTAGGGTCCTCTATGAACAACTCCTAGAAAGAAAAAGAAAAGATGGGACAAGCAATATAATATAAGAAATGAGTAGAGGAATTTAAATCGGAAATGAGAAAAGGGGAGCTGCCGACAAAAACGCCCATAAAGTCCGTCATAGTTTATCCCAAATATAACCCCGTTCTAATAGCGAAATAAAAGGAAATACAAATGGAAAACGAATCTGAAAATAAGGAATATTCGCCAAACACGTCAGAAAACCCACCAAGAAAAAAAAAAGTAGAACATTATGGACTACCCAAAACAAATCCTCAGATACGATCTGCCAAATCCCCGCCAGCGATGGAGTTGGCTGTAGAGGATGAAGCAGATGAGTAACCGAGACCACTGACACCTCCGTTCAAAAGATCATGAACTGCAACCCGAGGAACCGCAGGAACCGGCAGCTTTCGCTGTGAACCATCTGGGCGGTTGAGGATATCACCGAGTCGGATTCCGTGGTTGGGATGCAAAGGTTGGGACACGTTGCCACCAGTGTGATATGGGTCAGCAATCTCCATAGGTGCAAGAGCGGGGACGTGTCTAAGCGAAAGGTGCCGAATGCTCGGAAGCTGCATTTGATAGTCATCACGATCACGAGGGAATAGACGCGGTGACTGTGCTGGTGTTGCCAATGGTGTGCTCTCAGGGGTTGGGGAACAGGAATCGTGAGAGAAGGTGGGAGAGGATGGAGCGGTAGAAACAGGAGAACTCGGTCGAGATTTCTTGACCGAGCGGTGGTGATTATATGGATCATCATCCTCATGGGAGTGAGACCGGGACATTGGCTGTGCGCTATGAGAGAAGGGTGGTAGAGAGGGCCGACCATGCTGGTTGTGTTGGTGGTAATGATGCCTCTCTCGCTCTAGCTGTTGAGACGCCGTTTGTGCTAGGAATCCCAAATCCAACCCATAGTTGTATTTACCACCCATAAGCGAAGGGCTGCTTGATGTTCTAAAGGGTGTCAACCCGGAATGGATGGATGGTTGATGCATTCCATGGTACGAATGTGGTGGAGAAACGTTCGGTGAGCCAACGTGAGAAGGAGGAGCAGACTTAGAGATAATTTTTGGCGGAGGAGGCATCATCTTGCCCGGCGAACCTATCGAGGAGTGATCGTGTTGGGCAGCCTGAGCGGCAGCAGCAAGTGCGGCCTGTTGCTGGTTTTTGTTACTTCTTCGCGAGTTTGGATTTGTGTGGATTCGGGAATGTCGAGTAAGTTCATCGGAGCGACTGAACCGTTTTGAGCAACCAGGAAATGTGCATCCATGAGGCTTCTCTCCAGTGTGAGTTCGAATGTGTCGAGTCTGATGTTCTAGACGATGAAAAGCCTTATCACACATGGGACATTTGTAGGGACGAGGAAGTTCAGGCCTTTGATCCTGCATCGGATCCTGTGGTCCCGTAAGAGGAGGAAGGAGAGCAGAGAGCGCCTGATGACTTCGTTCGTGATCGTGAAAAGACATAGGTCTAAGTGAAGGATGTGGAGGGGATTGATGGAGAAGGGACGCAATATTAGATGCTGAAGAACCTCGCTGCATGTGATTCACGCCCAACAAGAGTGATGAAGAGATGACGAACAGAAGGAAGAAAAAAGTGTGGAGAAGTTAGCAGGCCCGCGGGGTTATATAGAGTATAGCCGGCTGCTGATCTCAGGAGAGCGTGGGGTGGAAAGGGAAACGAAAAGTGTGGAGGCGAGGGGGGGGGCGCCGCCGGATTTGTACCGCGATCGAGGACAGCCGTTCGGGGAAATTTTTTCTGGTTTTCCTTTTTTCTCCTTTATTTTAATGGGAAGGAGGGTGGTACAACCCGTGATAAAAATAAAAATAAAATAAAAATCAATAGCACTACAAAACAGCGAACCCTCGGCTATGGGTAATGGTGGTTGGTGGTGATGATTGAGAAGAGGATGGTAATCGTGATGATTGCTAGAATTTAATCCTTTCGTTGTATGTGATGATCAATGGTGATGATGAGGCGGAACGATGAATAAATGGATGAGTGTGTAGGTGTGTGTGTGCGTCGCTCCCGACGAAGCTGAAAAAGCAGTGAGGGAGAGGGGAGAAAGCAGGGGTGTTTTTTTCTCCTTTCTCCTCTTGTCGAGCCTGAATGTGAAAGCCCAAAGGGTATGAGGCGCTGCTCCTGTTGGCGCTTTGCTGGAGCCTGGGGCGGTTGTCAGACTTGGCCAATGTGGGGACACCGAGCCGCGGAGGAGAACCAAGTGGGACAAGATTTTTGCAGGCGGCAGGTGAACAAAAATAAACCCCCACCGAAAAAATAAATAAAATAAAAAAGTAAAATGAAAACTGTCTCCTCAGGTTGCAGAGGACAAGAGAAATGGCAAAATTGTTTAAAAGACGAACAAAGACGGGTGAGTATGAGATTGTTCCCCTGCTGATTATCCTAATATATACCTGTTGCTCGATCCTACGAGCTTCGAGACGGGGGCTTATTATTGTTCTGGAGGAAAGACCTGGCGATATCCTTCAAGTCGTGTTTGAAGTGTCTGGGGTGTTGTTCAATGCAGGTGCACAGCTCGTTCCTCTCCTTATGGTGAGGGCGGTTGATGACTTGATGGGGAATGGAGTTAGATCCGGAGAGAGGGTGCAGTAAGAGGGGGCATAAATATGGGGGAAAGCAGGCTTTTTGTAGGTATGGTACTCCCCTACCAGGCGAAAGTTACGGTACTGGTCGATGGAACGTTGGTGGGTGTCTACTCGAGTACTTTATGAGCAAGCGCAGACAGCAAAGCACGCAACACAAGCACTCACTCACTCGCTCAACTCACACATTCTCCTCCTCCTTCCCCCTTCCCCTCCTCCCACGCTCATGCTCATACTCACACTCACACACTCACAAATAAACCCATGAAAGAGCGACAAAAGAATAAAAAATAAAATAAAATAAGGCTATGATAAGCGGAATCAGAGTGGATGGATGGAAGGATGGGTGGGTGTCCTTGTTGATCGGGGTTCTACGGCTGAGAGAGAGCGATGAGTGGGGTTGGTTACATGTCCAGCCAACCTGTCTTCGATCAAAAGGAAATTTCATCTGATGCATTCATTCAAGTGTGGGGGAGCCTGTCATTGCAACAATTCGAGAACCTCTACCCTTCCGGACCCTCAGTCACTCATTCAATCACACACCTCCACTACTTCTCCCGACAGGGCGCTCGGCAGTTAGTCAGACGAGGTTGAGGACAAGATAACCAGTGCCACACCGTACCATCATCCTCTTACTGTTGCCTCATACATACGTTTGAGATACTATTATCATTATTTCCATTTACTCGCTTTGATTTAACTTACCCTATCTTTCCTAACTTATGCTAGTTATTGTGCAATTGCACACCGGTGCTCGCCTTGCGGTAGCTAGTTTCCCCTCATGATCCGTTTTTCTGTGGCACATCATAGGTCTGATTTGCAGTGGGGGGAAACAAAGCTCCTCCCGAGCCCATTGTCTGGCCACCGCAAAACATGGGGAAGTGATAGGATGGCAGGTCAAAAAAGGGGGGGGGGAAGGGGGTAGATGCACCCGCCTCTTAGATGGAAAGATATGGCCGTGCGAAACCAGACCAAATGACTGCAGTATCCACCAACCCCCATAACTCGTTCTCGCTAGTTGTCCTACCTGCAACTCCACCGCTCGGATACGGTAGGGTACGGCAGTCTGCCATGAATTGTTATTTCCATTTGGATTTGTGACCTTTGAGTTATGTACGGGTGCTCGAGTATAAATCACAATACGAGCTCACCTACCCATGATGGGCGGATAACCTTGGAAATGCGCTCCCGAATATTTAACAAGCGATGACGACAGAGTTGTTTTTGTTGTTTTGTTGTTTCCATGCTGTTGCTATTGTTGTTGCTGTTGTTGTTGCTGTTGGAAATAAAAATTTTGGTAACCAGCGTGCAGGATCAATAGCGGTACATTTTTATGAAACCTTTTCGTCTCCTACAACTCTCTTTCTCCCTTCTACCTCACCTACCGCACCCACACCCCCGGACTCCTTTGCGCACACAAACTTCAATGGGGCGATGGACTAAGAAGAGGAAGGGAAAAACGCCCTTTTCTTTTTTTTCACTTCCTTTTTTTTTTTTTTCATCCAGAAATTTGCCCTTTTCAACGAAATCTCGCTACCATTTGGTCACCGAAAACAACAGCAGCCAAAGTGTTTGTTCTCGGCATTTTGTCCGTAAGGCTTCAATGCCCGGTCAAATACTGAGTACTCAGAGATATATGCGTTGTTCGGCCCCATGATAATTAGTCCTTGACGAGCTCTTCAGAGTTTCTTGCGTGGGGGTATGATGCCAGTAAGGAAGGATGATGCCGTTTGTTTGTTTGTATTGCGGGGGGCAAAGCAGGAACACGATCCAGGTCCTCACACTCATGCAAGATCTTTGGGAATCTTCTTTCGATTTCGCTTTGTCCATTATCAAATACCCAATATCAGTTTTGTGAACGAAGTCCATCCCCTCCTCCTCACTCCCCTTTATTTCTAACCATGATATTTTGTCAGAATTCTTCCCACCCTACGTTTCCCTTGATGGTGCTCTCACATGCGAGAGGCCCTGGATAAAAGGGTAGCCCCGCGGCCTCATCGGTGGCAGTGCGACGTTTCCTAGCAGCGGATCTAGCAACCAGCGTCCGGACTCTCCCGCCTTTATGGATCCACTCCGATGAGTTAGGAATGAGTTTTTCCGTAGATAAGGCAGCGGGTCATTATCTGTGATCCGAAAAGGGTACAATAGTCTCGGCAGGGGCGGACAAGGGGGCGAAGGGCTGAGAATGCAGTGGCCTACAACGGGAAACCAGATGGACCAGCTAGCTTCAAAATCAGACGTTGCCCGGCGGAAATCTGGTTCAACTTATAATGGCTCTCGTGATTCTCAGGAGAGATTCCTCTATTGGGCCAATTCGGTTATTTCATTTCTTTCCTCGATTTTATCGGGGTTTTATTTTGCCGTTTTCAGGGTACCGACTAAGTTCCCGAGTTCACCCGATGGGAAGCGGAGGTGCGGATTAAAAATTTGCTCCCAGCCTGCGCGGGGGAGCTCCGTTCGCTTACTCGAAAACGCTAATGCAGACACTGTGTCCACCAACACTATCCCGCAACCGGCCCCGTACTCAGATCCGGGTGCCTACAGTGTGTAACGGTACCCATAATCTCACAGAATTCGGGTGCCTGCTGCAGCTTGAACATTGTCTGATGCCCAATGTCAAGCTGTTGATATATTCATAATCCCTGCACAGCCCTAAGACTGCAACAATCTTTCCTCTAGCTCCGTGCTCCTACACAGTGCACTGCTAGCAAGCTGGCGAAAAGACGCGTTCACAGCCGATTCTGCCATACTGGTGCCCTATCATCCAACCGCCGCCCTCAGACTGAGCACACGTTGGACTTAAGGTTGATCCGCCCCTGTGCCTACCGTAACCTGTTTAACAACTTCCATTTCTTCGGTCTTCTGTGACACAGGCAAGAAATATTTGTCGGGTTGATTTTTACTATAAAACACTTGCACTAACGACCCCACAATCGACCCCTTGAAACTGGCTATTGCTGTTGCGGTACGGCAAAAGGGTCGGATCCAGGGAATCGATGGTATCAACAGATTTCTTTACCAGGTATCGATCATGCAAGCGTATTTGTTCCTCTTTCTCCCGCAGTTGCAGTGCAACTATAGGCTCCGCATAATTCTCCGGCGACGCTCGTGGGTTCTGCTTGTCACTAGTCGTATTCTCCCAGTGCCAGGCCAAGGAATGGGTTCAACTAGCGTGATAGTTCATGAAGTTGTGTGTTTCTATGATAGGGTCCATGGTTATAATGTCTACGCCAGTGCTGTAGATGGGCTTGGCTTGAGCAGAATTCGGGACGTGGGAATGCAGACTATGGCTGGCTACTACAAAACCGCTGTGTCACAGTTTCCCCAACAAGTGCGCAGAGATGCTGATTGGTGAGACTTTCAAAGAAATGAAAATAGCCGACAAATCGCCTCATATTTCGGAGATGGCATTCTCCTCAAACCGTGGAGATAAGCATTTCCGTTATTATATTTTTGAGGGAAATAAGTTTTCATTTTATTTTTATCTTTTTGCAACATTAGAACATTAGAATCAACGAAACCCCCGGATTTTTGATTGCCTCCCAGATACCGTTATCAACCGAACTAAAGCTACACCCATACAAGAAACCATAGCCGGGGCAAAACGACTCACGACTGCGGGGATGCTTAAGCTAGGAATTCACATGCTAAATTTTTGATACAGCACTTAGCTCCTGAGAATCGGGAGAAGCGGAAAGAAGCAATAAGGTCCTGGAAACAGAAAACAAGAAAAAAGGGTCGCCTATCCACATGCTTCTCGTAAGGAATAACAATATATCTTAAACCTTCTCGACACCACGGCCTAGGGACTCTGAGCCTAATTCTTGCCTGTTACTATTATTTGAGGACTCGATTGGGACTTCTCCGTCGGCTTCCTCGACCTCCTCCGGTAGAAGTAGGTTCAAGAAAATAGCAATGCTAATTGTTATTTAAATAAGGGTGAGTAGAAAATCATTAGTCACTCGTTCGGCATGACGGTAGAGGGACACATCTGATAGGGGTTCATGGCTACTCACAAAGCGGTTATGGCAAACCCGGTCTCCATGATAAGGTTGATAGCATCCAAGAACCCCTGCAATCCGCCACCTCCCTTGTATGTGAAAAAGTGGCTTTCAGGCCCTTCAATCAGCAGCTGACTTCAGACAGGGCCCAATCTCCTTCTAGAAGGGCAGGAAAGAAGACTTACTCAAACCATTTGGGGACGAGGGTAGCTCCGTATCTGTATTGTTATCGTATTATCCTGTAAGCCTTTGGTTTTCTTTCAATAGGGAAGATGCAAATTTATTTACCCCAATGAAAGAGCTGCCGTTAAAATGAATCGGTCTAGAAAAATTTTGAGTTATTTCGTGAGACTAAGCGATTGAAACTTCTATGGCGAAGCAAGCCCAGCTGGCGGATCGAGCAAAGGGCGTGAGAGAGGAATAAAGGAGGGCTAAAAAAGAAAAGCTTACTCCGACGTGTGAACGGCATTGTCGCCGTAATCCTCATGCCCGATACAGCAACTGAACAGAACTTTGCACAAATCAACAATTGACCAAACTTTTTTTTGCCCCTGGTATCGAAGGTGGCTTACGAGGAATGTAGTCATCCCGCCCAAGACCGCAGACGGAATTGCCACGAGCGATGCAGCAAATTTCGAGAAAATTCCCATAATTATCAGGAAAAAGCTATAACAAGCATGAGTTATTATGATCAGCTAGCCGCGTGTCTGGGGAGAAGAGGAAAAAAAGAAAGAAAGGAACGGCTAATTTTCAACGGTATTACGAACCAGCATCCATATCCAGCACCGCGGTTTGCGCACCGGGTGAGAGCGATGACGCCCTAATGGTTTGTTAGTCAAGACATCAGGGATGGAGAAAAATATTGGGAAAGGGCAATACATACGTTATTCTGAGCGTACGTGCTCATGGGAGTGATGGTGGCTAAACTTGCTAAAAGTCCGTTGATGCCATCTGCCAAGAGACCTCCCTGGATACGTGAGTCGAACATTTTACCATCGACATCAAGTTTGGAGACTGTTCAAGTGTTAGATTCCATCACCCTCTACCGTGCAGGGAAGACATGTGAATACCATCGCACGTTGCACTGATATCGCCAATCGCCTCGCACGCTAGAATTATATAAACGGCTAATGTCCTACGAGAAAATTAGCAATACAGAGGCTGGTGTTGGCTCAAGACATACGGCAGTACGAGCGGCCCGTATATTGAGAGCTTGAATGTCTGAACCCAGATAAATGAAACAGTAGGAGCCTAGAACCAGTTAATACGGTAGATGGGTATCCCCATAGCATCAAATTCAACCTTACCAAGTCGATATTCTTTTTGGAAAAGTAGCCAGTGGCTGCAGCAATAATACATCCAAATAGCAGTCCAATGGCGACGCTGGTGGACTGCATAACAGGACCTAATAATTACTTAGTAAACATTGCTGGATTGGGCTTCGTTTATTTACTTCCAAATCTCTCGCATATAATGATAGCAATGAAGACGGAGAATCCGAGACCTGATAAGAGGGTTAATTACATACAACCCAGGTTACAAGATCACATTTCAGAGAAACTCACCAATAAACTCTGCGGAACCCCAGGGCAGGGGATGCGGAGCTGCAGTATTGGGACATAAGGAGAAAGGTCCCGTTTTAGGCGAATCAGCGCACGGTCCATTCCCTCCAGCCCAATTCTTAAAACCGGATGCAATTAACTTGACACCGACGAGCATCACAGTCGGGCCGGTGACCAGAGGAGGGAAGATCTTTTGGAGAAGTCTAGGTGGCATAAAAGAAAGGGCAATTTCCAAAAGCGCACAAACACATCCGGTTCCAAGGATCGCGCCTGGATAAACTTTGGGTAAGCCTTGTTGTGTTCGATCGTGGGAGCACTTGTCATAACTTACCGTAACCGTCCGGACAGGGTAACTTCACACCGCCTTCCATTGGGCCTGCGATTTCTAGGGTTAGGGAAGAGATTTTGTGAGGATTGTTTTTGAAAATGTCACGTACACTGTTTCACGTGAATCACACACGGTTAGTGACGGATCCGCGGGTGTTGATGGTTCAGAATCTCACCTTTCCATTAGCATACATCTGTTCCAAAGCACCCTGGGCAACGGGTATAATGGCAAACGAGGTTCCAACACTGCTATGTTTAGCATCGGCCCATTCTGGCATTCGTCGCCCGGCATTACTCACACAGATATAAGGCCAGTCCCGATGTAATAACTACCGGCGCACATCATATCAATTAGCCAAAAAACCTTAAAAAAAAAAAAAAAAAAAAAGCGCACCACCCATGCTGTACTCCGCAGGACTATGCACGATGGGTACATACGGGGTTCCCCAGATGTGGAATCTGGTAATCTGAATAGCAGACAATATACCGCAAACAATCAATGCGGTGGAAACGAGGTACTGTTGAGCCCCCGCCGACAAGTTGGCACCTCCTGCCCCTCCTAGGATTAATGGTGGGGAAACTACTCCCGCCAGCATTGCTAGAGCACTATTGAAGGATATGAGCGATATCAGCAAAAAGCTCAACCGGGATGTACGAGTGTATATCACGCAATTACTGAGGGCGCAAGTATATATAGAGAGTAGGAAAGTTGGAAACGCAACTGCTGAAACCCTAATAGTAGCGCAAGCAATACCGGCATCCGATCATCTAGTCCGAAAAAAGGCGCCGATCGGCGTGGCTTCCTCATGAATGGGAGCCTAGGCTACATTGTTGGATTCCCGGTTGGTAAGTATTGCGCTTTGCTCCTGCTTGTTCTGCTATGTAGAAATATGCGGGGGTAGAAAGGGTGGACGGGAAGAGGTGTGGAGACGGGCATGGAGGCTCATAATTCCCATACCCGAAACAAAAAGGCATAATCGTAGTCGCCGAGAAGCCCCTCTCTGTCACGAGCAAGCAAACAAGCGGGTTATTAGCGACTGATATGATCCGGCGTGAACATGCTATGACCCACGCACCATGACCCGCACAATCTTGAACTGCGCGGTGAAGGGGAGAGGAGATTCACTTACTTTGTCAACAATGCCTTCTTAACACTGCGAGCATGATCTCCAAACGTCCTCTTGCGCACCGTCGAGGGAACAATTTGATCCGGCTCTGTCATTTTGATACTGTGCCCGTAGGATAGAGGCTAAGCGCAAATTTAAGGAGAACCGACGATAGGAGTACGGGTCGGTTGGTGTGTATCGAAGCAACTCCAAGCAATTCGGTGATACTTGTTAACCCGAGTGAGTATCGATCGACGATTGAAGGGAAAGGACAAGAGTCGAAAGGTGGGTTCGTTATTAATATATCGCAATTCCTTCCAAGACGATGAAAAGCTCTCCCTGAAGATCAAGCTTTATATAGTAGAAGACTTGGTATCATAGAAAGGTAGGCATACTTGCAGGTCTGGGGCAGGTCGGTACCATGCAGGTAAGCCTGAAAAGATTCGCACGTAACCAGAACAGCGATAAGAATGAGCAATAAAAGGAAGCCATCATAATATCATCAACTCTTAAGCGAGGGGAACTTGAACTGAACCATCAAGGCTACCTTTGATGAGCCTGCCATAGGGGTTCGTGCTCAGGAGCACCACCGCTCGAGCAAAATACTTTGCCATCTTTACTCACCTGCCCTCCAATGCCCGAGCTTCCCGCGCCGCCATCTCGCTATTCCAAACCGTATGATATGACTTTTACTTTTCTTTTCGGTGTTTCTTTTCTTCTTCTCCCCGTTTCGGTGAATGCCACCTTACAATCTGGTTCCAATCCGCGCTTCAGTCCACCAGCCGCTCGGTCTGAAAAGTTGTCCCCATTTTTTTTGAGACGAAAAACCCCAAACGCCTAAATATTTCCTTTTTCCTGAAGAAAGCGAACCTGGAGCGCCAGGCGATTCTCATGACAAACCGCGATCCGCCGCACCGTCCCCGCCGTCGTAGTGCAGAACTAGTACGGGTACGTGTGCGGTACAGTACAGTACTCGAGTATCATGCGGGAAGGATGAGATTAGGCGCATCACATACTGAAATCAGATATGGTGGACGGGGCCCGGAGAATGGCTCATATTATCTGTCCGACACTTTAATTATTGTCTCATATTTACATGCAACCACAGTACGGTATGGGTATTCCTTCAATGGAGAGGATGGTCCAGATACGGGATAGTTGGTTGGCACCATAGTAGGTTTTTGTTGTTGTACAAGTGCCATGGGTGAAGTCTTCGCACACACTACTTTGTGACCTCACCAATTTTTAACATTTTTTTGCTGGTAAGCCACTTTGGTGTGTGCGAAGACTTCACCCATGGCACTTGTACGAGTACAGTATCGATAAATTTTGCTTAGGCATGGGTTCTGGCATGTTCAGGTTTGATGGGGGTGGCGGTCAACGGTAAATGCGGGAGGAAGGAAGATGGAGTGTGGGTAGCGGGTACTCGAGTACCGGTACCGAAGTTAAATATGGTAAATGTATTTACTTGTACTTGTATTGTCTTGGGCGTGGTAAGGGACGGTGGAGAAGAGGGCCAATTGGCGTGTGGGGATGGGGCATCGGTGGGTGCACTAGGAGCGCCACTAGTGCCAAGATGAGGCGAGGTTGACGGGGCTGTCATGTGGGCATGTGGCACGGAACCGTGGCGGGTGTGGGTGGGAAGCCGCGAGACTGAAGGGAAAGAAGAGGGGAAGCCTACTAGTACGAGTACCGTACTCGGATACCAGGGTTAGTCCGCGAACAGTAAGGTTTGGTTGGAATAGTGCGCGCACTAAATGGGGTGTGATTGAAAACTGGCAAAATTCCTCGAACGCTTCCTGCCCTACCATTGGCTGAATAAACCCTGCCGTTCGCGGACCGACCCTGATATCCTAAGTACTCGAGTACCGGTAGTCTGATAGTTGTCCGAGATGGTTTTCCAGAGATGCCAAACATGCCAAGCGGCCATGGGAACAATTAGAAGGGGAGAAAGATAAGGTGCATGAACGATAGATATATAGAATAAATTATATTACATGAAGATGATGAATTAGGGAGAGAGAAAAAAAGAAAGACTAAGGCCCTGTTCGACATATACCAATAAATAAAGATTATAGTATTTCCTGAAATGGCTTACAAGCTAAAATAAAAATACTGTAGTATTTCTAAAAATATTGGTGTATGGCAACACCCTTATACTATAGCATTTTTCTTAATAAGCAAAATCTTATCTGAAATTTGTAATAAAGCTTGTAGACTATGAGTATCTTTTTTTATTTTATTTTTTATTTTTAGAAATGTAGTATATAAGCAAATTACAACTTGGTTTCCTCTATATAATAAAATATCTCTTCTTTGTCCCAATCACATCTCTTATGTTTTTTGATTAGGTAAGAAGTTTTTTGACATATTCTTTCTGTGAAAGTACTAAGTTTCAACTTTTTTTAATCTCATATTATGCTCCAGCTACATTGGTGACAGCTGTAGTAATATTCCAAAAAATGTTACTATTTAGTTACAGGAAAAAATCATGATTGTTATGGTCTGCTCGATCTGTGTTGCGTTTTATGATTTAACAATAGAGTTGGTATTCTTGATTAAAAGGAATATAATTTTGTGCGACCGAAATTGAACAGGTCTTTTGGAATTAGGATTTAATAATACTGATATTACATAAAATAATAGAGTAAAAATATTTGTATCTAAAGAATAGAGAAATAATTGACAATTTCACATAATATTACTAAAAGAAAGATTGAATTGATTTGTTAGCCCTGTTTTTTTTATAGAACTTCTATAGTACAAAATTGAGTTACATTTTTATAAAAATACTATATTATATGTGGCATGCTGAATACTAGGCCAAACTAAAAGAAAAATACTGCAATAAATATGCTATAGAAGTGGAAATACAAGCATATTTTTAACTTACCAAATAGGGTCTTAGTCTGTAATTCTTTATTGTTGAAAGTAAGTAATCTTCCTTATAACCTTTCTATTTCAATCCTGTCTAAGAAGTTACAATAAGTTAACCTAAACTAAACTATTTTTCCTCTTTATATTTTTTTTAAGAAACCATTCCTTAAATTCTTCCCAGTCATTTTAAAAAACCTATACCCTCTCACTATTTCTCAGACTTTACTAGTGGATAAATTTTTGGATTACACAAGCCTCAAATAGGATATTAGCAAATTTCCCACTACCTTAATATCCTCCGTATAATTGTTAGATATAGAATCTCAAATGAAGATCAAGAAGGTGAAGAGAGGAAGAGTATAGGAAGGTATACTAAAAGTGCGAAGTTGTAGGATGATGGTATGGTAGAGTACTGTCATAAACTAGATTGTAACAAGGCAGACTAATGAGGGAGAATAAGATTTTCATATGACGTAAAGTTAAATGTCAAAGAGGTTTATTGTTTTATAATAATATACAATTTTAAGTCATATGATATTACAACTTTCATAAGTGAATTGCAAGTAGGTATCACGAATGTGGCTTGGCAAGGAAAAGGTTTTCATGTGACACATAGTTATGAGTCACAGGTATGATATTGTTTTGCACGTATGACTTATTTGAGTCATATGACTTGTTATGTTATAATTTGTTATGTTCGACAAATGACTTGAGTATGAGTCATGGGATGTGCACCTGTCGAGTGAGCCTTGCAAATGTGCCTTGTTGGTATGCCTGGCATGTATAATTTATGTTTAGCACATGACCTCATTATGAGTTCACAGATTTCACCCATGTGACTACTGGGGTCATGTGACCTGTTTATTGCGCTATAATTGGATTATGAGTTCTTGCACATGACCTGGCTAAAAGGTCATGGGTTTTGAGCATGTGACTACTTTGGTCACAGGATTTGTTTATTATGATTTGGTTTCGCACATGTGACCATTTTGAGTCACATTACTTAGGGTGGGAAGAACACTATATAAGGAGGCAGGTATGCTTGAGGAGGATAGGTTATTCACGCTTTGTTCTAAGTACTTTCCCTCGTCCTTGCCATTGCTTCGCATCGGAGTGTTTCTATTGCACCTATGATAGGCTTAGATTCCAGCGATTTTGGGGGAGGTATCTGAGTTCACTCAGTAGTTCCTAGGGTTCTTGGTGTTGAGGTCTGCTTGCTGTATATGGTGGATTACTTGTTTGGTTCTCCTTTCGTTGCCTGATGGTTATCTCACGATGCTGTCACTTTGAGCACTTCATCACGGTTGCTTACGAGCCCCTTTTGGTGAAATACTATCGGCTTCATGTCTATTATCTGCTAGCAGGTTTTGTGTTCCATTAGGGGGATTGAATGTGGTGTTTAGGGGTATCACCAGTGTCATTCTTTGGGACCCCTCATCTTTCTTGTTGGGTTTTAATGCAGTCCTTAGTTCTCATGATAAAAATGCCTACGGGTTCACTTGGTGACTGTCCTGTGTCCTGAACTTGTCATACTATCTGCATCACTTTTTCAGGTGGCAGGGTAGTACCTGCCCCACTCCTCCTCATGATGTCATGTTTTTACAGTTGGAATCCAAGATGCTCTTTATCGCCGTGCCTTTAGAGTTTTTGTCCTTATAGCATTTACAGTATTCCAGTCAGGTGTCTCCTCCTCACCTTGGTGGGGATGGCTGTGATCCTCAAAGATCTTACCTCCTGTTGTAGTTTATTATTACTGCCGGGAGCGGTGTGTGACAATTGGCTGCCAGTCATTCAGGTTGTCTGTGTATTTGGGTAGTTCAGTTGTGGATTGTGGTTAGTGGCTTCATCCATTGCAAGTGGGCCTAACTTCTGTTTTTCTGCTTCAGTTTGTTCACCCTCCCCCTTTCTGTCATGTTGTGTGGGGGCGCCTTTTGCTTGTCGTTTGGTCTGTACCTATTGTCAGACCTGTAGGGCTGGCTTTGGCTGGCTCTACCGATCCTTCCACAACTTAGTTGTACTTTAGTTCAGTCAGGTTAGATGGTATGGCTGGTGCTGGTGCCTCAGGATACTGGCGCTGCCTCCTTCGTAACTTCCAGTTGTGGCTAATAGGCCCCCCTTGGCTACGCAATATGGGGGGTTGGTTCTTAGTTGATGAGATCAAGATTAGTGGCTGCCTGATGGGACTAGGTATAGGCTGTCCTATGGCTGTTGGATGGTTGATCTGTCTGAAAGGCTAAGGGGGCTGGATGGGCTCTATGGCATCTGGTGTACGGGATATGGGGGGGGCTGATTGGGGGGAGAGAGCTGCCTGTGAGCGGTGGTTAGGTGTGTATCAGGTTGGGTGAGATCTAATTAAGTGTTTCCAGTCTGGCTTGGGCTATTGGGTGAAGCTGCTGAGTGCTGCAAAACTTCCTGACAGACTGGCTGGCTGATGGCTACCTGTGCGGATAGTCAGTTGCGACTACCTAGTTGAACTTGTTTGGACTTTATGTGATGGGTTTCGCGGGGTTTGTTTGGTTTCCTTGGTTTGGCTTTTGGGTACGGCAGAAGGAGGCAAGGCACCCTGAGTGGAGGATAGGCCCCACTGACCTTCTTGGTCTGTTACTACCTCTATATATTTC